GTTGGCTTTGCAAAAAGAATCCCAATAAAAAGTAATCGAGTCGCTTTTATCTTGAACATTCCGGATGGGACTCTGAATGTTAATGTGATTTCTGATTAAAACAAAATTGAAAGCTTACAAAACTTATTAAATACCCTATTATGTTAGAACAAATTCGAGAATTTAGGCCTTGTTTGATAATGTTCCTGTTTATTATTTCTCGTTTCTAAATTTTTTAAGAAATTTAAGCATTTTGTAACTAACTATGTTTTTTCATCTATTCTTTTTTTGGTAACATTCTCAAAATTGTATAGAAATTTTTTACACAACCAAAACAAATTTATTATTTTTTGTTTTCATTTTCAATTTGTTCCTAAGTATAAATAATTGTTTTATCATAATTGAATTCATGAATGTTGAGATCATGCACTTCATTCTTCTTTATTAAGAATAAAGAAACATGAATATTATCGAAATGAACCATAAAGAAAACATACTAAACACTTTATGCAGTTTAGACCTTGGAGATATATTGAAAAAGTATTGAATAATAAATTTATTATAACTTTTTAAAATTGATTTAATAGACCAACCCTCCAAGTTGGTTAAATTTGAAATTTAACCCTTTTTTTTAACAAACTCTGTTTATTTTCAATACATTAACCGTTTTTAGTAATGATATAGAACTTATAAGATAATCCGTCACCGGCAAATATAGTATTAAAAAAAACAAAAAAACAAAAAAAAAAGTTGACTACGAATGGACCAATCACTTTCTGATTTTCAAACAAAGCAAAAGAATGGAAGGTCCGCCTCAAATAAAAAGACGTATATACCCTTAAAATAGGTGGATTTGTTTTAAAATGATGATTTAGTAAGTGGTGAAGTATATCACTTACATATCAATAAAATAAGAAACCTACGATGTCACCTAAATCGAAATATTCAAACCCAAAAAATTTTATCAATAATATATTGTATTGTAATATAAAATATATCATTTATATTTAGTGTGACTGATATAATTCATGTACAACATTGATATCCTTAGTATTCTATATATCGATATATAATTGATATATCTAATAGTTAAGTATATTAATGATATATTTAACTATATTACGATGTAATTAATATATAAATAAGAAACATGTCATGTTACTTCAACCTATGTAAGATTTATTAAGTATATACTTAATATGAAATATAAAATTCACATATTTAGTAAGACTGATATACATCATATTCGATATAACAATCGTATCAACGATATATTTTATATTTAGTGTGACACGTATATTTCATGTTAGTTATATAAATGATATACTTAATAAATTGGAATATCGGCCATATAACCTGTATATACTTCAAGTTTATTTTTATACCTTAACATGAAGTATATCACTGGTATATCAATTTTCGAAAATTAATGAGGGCATAATAACAAAAAATTAAAACGTGATTTTATTTTATTTTTTCATATTTACAAAATCAAAAAGTTATGGCCATGTTTACAAATATGACAAATATTAGGTAGAGTACCATGTGATAAAATAACAATGGCTTTTATTGTATGATGGGATCCTATTAAAATGAGTACTAATAGTACTATTAAAATTAATTTAATAGATTTGTTCAATTATTTTTAAGTCAGTTATGTCGACTTGAATTTAGTTCAATTGGTTAAGATATTTATCTTCAATCAAAATGTCGTGGGGATCGGTGACTAGAATTTTGATATAAATATACAAAATATTTACAATTTTGCAGCGTTGTCTAATTTGTGCCTTGATTTTTTAAGAATTAGAATATTAATTAAATTATAAAATTTGCGGTTCAACATTACTTGAGTGACTACACTAGGAATTTAATTGAAAATAATGTATATAAAAAGTTCAAATGGAAAATTTGTCCATCCATATACTTTCTTAGCTCAGCTCCTAGATTAGAGAGACATTTTTTTAAAATAATTATTAATTTGATAAACTCATGCAATTGAATCTATTAGAGTTATGATTGAAGTGTGTATCAAATAGGGTCATAAACTTAATTTTATGTTTAATTGACTTGTGGATTTTAAAAAATGTTTAAAAAAAATAAAAGTTTAGTGTTTATTATATTTTTCAAGGTTGACTTAATAAACACAAAGATAAGAGCCAATTAATTAAACTTATAATCTAACTTTAAAATTTCAAGACCTTTTTTTTTTCAGAGAAGAGTAATTTCAAGACCTTTTAAAAACAAATATAAAAGTCAACTTAGAAAAATAAGTTATATCATTGACAATCAATTAAAAATATATATAATACTAAAAGAAAAAATTTTAAAATTTGTATAAAAAAAATACTATTTTCTTTTTAAATAAAAATCAATATCAAAGCTTTAAATTTGACGTGACACTCTTCTTTAAAAAAAAAATTGAAAGTGAAGTAATTGAAGAGTCGAAAGGAGAGGAGATGGACTCCGTAGCTTTTGGGGTACACCAACGCCAGTTTCAAATACTTGTCTACGCCAAAATAAATAACAATGGAAAAAGAAATTTGACAAGGTGAATTAAAATAATTTTTAGACAAAAAATACGTGGCATAATTCTCAATCTAATTCTTAATATATCTTTTGAATTGGCATAAAAAAACATTTAATTCATTGCTATCTGGATTTCATTCCTAATCTAAATAAAAAGTTTGATTCGTTTAAAAGAGAAGAACTACAAAATCAAGATTGAGAACAAAATCATGGCAAGACACGGAATTTATTCCATAGGGAATTTTTTTTTTATCTTGTCATCATACTATAACCCTACTTTAAGTAGGAATTCCTTGCCTAATTTGAGAACTTTTGTTTTGGGATTGTCATATCTACTATGTATGACACATGTGTCTTTTTTTAAGTAATAGTCAATCAAAAAATCAAAAGTGGGAGCCAAGCCAAGCCAACACACCAAGCGAGCAATTATTAGATAACCAGCACTAGTTCNAATTCCACACTCCTAATGTAACTCGTAGGCTAGTATTGTTTTTTTTTTATTTTAATACAACAATATGTGAGGTATGAATTCAAACTCACAATCTTTTAGTCGAAAATTTGTACCTTAATCAGTTTAGCTAAGTTCATATTAGTTTTTTTTTTCTTTTTGCGTGTGTGGAGAATAATGTAATTGAAACATTAACACATAGTTTTACTTTTAGAAAAAATAGATCAAAATCAATATCAGCATAACTTGGTGGATAAGTTATATGGTTTGGGCTAATCCTTAGGAAAGGTTTGGGCTCCAACTTTTAGAACTACTTGAGAATGAGTTGGCTATGGGCTAGCCTGAGGCATCAATAACATATTTTGGGCTACTATTTTCTATTTCTATTTATTAATTATTTTTAAATCAAAATTTTTCTGCTCTATCAATTTTTATCAAAATTTAAAATTTTCAGTATTGTAATTTGTACCCTCTAGTAAAATTCTATTAATTTGCCTAAGAATTTTATCAAAAATCAATTTAAACCCTCTAAAATCTTATTATTTTGTATAAAAATATAGTTTTTCGCAAAGTTAAGTTTGATCGATACACAAAATTGACCATCATGAAAATAACTTTATCAAAATGCTTAAATTTCAAAAAAAAAAAAAAACTTTAATGTTGTTTTTCTCTAGAATATAATTAATATGATACTTGACATGATTTATGTTACAATTAACATACTTTTTTTCTTTTTTTGAGAAACAATTAACATAATTTTTTTTAACGATTCTTCAATTAAAAATCCATCAGATAGTAAAATGCAATAATTATTAGGTAAGAAATTTAATATTTTTTTAAGTTTGAGATAAAAGTTGCAACCCACCAATTTACACCTTTTTTGTAAAATTGAAATTGAAGAAAAATATTGCCTTGGTTCAAGACAAGAATTGATGTTTTTTTTTGTTATTATCTTCTCACAGATAAATAATAAATATTTTTAAATAAACAAAAAAGAATAGAGGATTTTTCTTTTGTGTGAGATTCGAATGCATGACCTCCTGATCATAGAGACGTATCAATTAGCCAAACTCATGTTGGTTATCGTAGAAACGATAATTTAAACTTAAAAAATTAATATCAGTATAGCACCAGGTAAACTATGTTCTAACAAAAATTATATCATTTGATTGATTAAGGTAAATTTACATTGGACACCTTCAATTAATGAATGAAAACTAAAATAATGAAGAACATGAAACACAATTAATTTAATATATAATTTATTTGAAGAATACGACACAAATTAGTTTAATAATGTCTGAAATCAATGCCAAGGCCCCCTCATGAGCATTATATATTATGGTCGTGGAACACGCCCCATTAAAATTTAAAACTAAGATCTGATTTCTCTTTCTTCATTTTTCCAATATATAATTTTGATTTTTTCATTCCATATGGAATATTATTATATTATATGAATCATACTACATTAAAAGAATACCAAACTTGAAATTAAGTGGTCGCTTGAAAATTATTTTTTATTACTTTTAATTATAATAAATATAAAATTAGGGTTTATCTTAAATACACTTTTAAGACAATATATTATTGAACACTTTGAAAATTTTGTCCGTGGACTCAAAATTTTGTTAGAAAAAATTGGGGGGTAACTGGGTCGGCTTGGATTGGTTTTCGAGCAAAAGAGGAAAAATCAAATTATTTTATTTTGGTTTTAGAAAGAAAATTATTTTTTTAAGATAGATAGTCTAGGTCTAGGTTACAGTTTTGGGAGACTACCACATCTTATCCATGTTTGAGAATAATTGTAGAATAAATGATTTAAAAGAAAAGAGATTTAACACGAGTGATTTTGTGAAAATGATTTTTCAAATAACTATTTTAAATAGAAAAGGTTAGAGATAAGAGAATCATAGTTTCAAATGTAGAACCGAAATATCGGAAAATTTTCTAATTTTCTAATTTTTTTTTCTTATAATTAAGATTTATATCATTATATATATATATATTATAAGTTGGTCATTTCTATAATATTTTTATTATCAGATTAAGAATCTGAAGATCTACAGCATGATGTCTCGCACTTTCGCCTTCTCACGACTTCTTGTTCTTGCTAGTTGCAGTTGCAGAACCATCCATGCGTCAGCCCCACCTCAAGAATTTTAAACAATTTATTAATTTCTTCTCTGACAACATCCACGTTCAAGTACGTCCCTTTTTTCCCTCCGCCCCCTTAGTTTTCTGCTCTGCGTTGGGTTTTTTAACAGATATAATTTGCTTCCAAACGAGCGAGGTTTAGGGTTTTTAATCTTTTCTGGGTTTCGATCTCCCCGCTCTGTAGTTCTTTCCAGAGGAAAAAAAAAACAGGGGAAATGTCGACTTTTTCTTCGCTCTCTACTGCGACGGCACTATCCCAAATCCCCAAAATGGTTCCTCCGGGGGGGAATACAATCCTCAATGTTCGGCCAGGATCGCCCCACTTTTGCCTTAAGTTCAAATTCAATACTAACAGATCTCTCTTCACTCTATTCACCTCCAGCTGCAAGCCCCAATTGCGATGCAAATCCCGGCCGAGAACTTCCATCCAATGCCTTTTCACTGGCATTGTTGAAGAAATGGGCCGAGTAAAAAATCTAGGTGTTACTGAAAACGGGGGATTTGACCTGGAGATTGTTGCCAAAACTGTTCTTGAGGGTGTACACCTTGGAGACAGCATTGCCGTGAATGGAACTTGCCTTACTGTGACTGCTTTTGATCACGAACTATCGGAATTCACGGTGGGGTTGGCGCCGGAAACGCTGAGGAAGACGTCATTGGTGGAGCTCNCGTGCCCGGTTCACCGGTGAATTTGGAGAGGGCGGTCCAACCAATCAGCCGAATGGGTGGGCATTTCGTGCAGGGGCACGTAGATGGGACTGGGGAGATAATTTCAATGGAACCTGAGGAGGACTCTTTGTGGATAAAGGTGAGAACATCAGAGGATCTGCTCAAGTACATTGTACCGAAAGGATTCATTGCTGTGGATGGAACCAGCTTGACTGTGGTGGATGTTTTTGATGAGGAAAAAGCCTTTAACTTCATGTTGGTTGCTTATACTCAGAACAGTGTGGTGATCCCATTGAAGAAAGTTGGGGATTTGGTGAATTTGGAGGTAGATATTCTTGGCAAGTATGTGCAGAGGCTCCTCAGCAATGGCGCCATCACTCCCATTAAGTCTCCGTGACAATAAAGCCTAGAAATAAAAAGGTCTTAAAAGTTGCTATCTTCTTCTACATAAAGTTTTAGCCTGCCTTGTTATGTATTTTCACAATTATCAACTTGGGGTTCGGGATGAATAAATGGTCTGATGTTCAACTGTCTTATTGTCTTTGTTGTATTTGGAAAACGGTTGGACAAGGATGTTACTCTTTGTATTATCAATTGACAACCTTATTTTCAGCGAGGTAATGCTTTCAGTTTCCATATCTTTGCTGTTACATGCTTGCAGGAAGTCTGAGTAGAATAATTGATCTTGGTGCTGTCATTTGTTGATCTTAAGGTGATTGGATTATGATAGATACAATTAGGCAAGAGTTGAATGGGATGCACTGAGTTATTTCAATCTAGGTTAAGTCATCAGCTCTCAAAGGAGATTATTTTTAAGATCAAGCAGAGATAATTAATGTCCAGTTGCCATTTTTGGTGCATTAACTAGTTGGGAGACCATAGGAGAAAGTTCATATCCTATTGTGGTGGAGCGTATATTCTGTTTCACAAAGGATCCGTTACAACTTAATGATTTCTGAGTTTAATATCTTACTTTTCTGTAGGGATCTCAGTTACTACTTTTTTCTTTGTCCGCTTACTAATTTGCATAGTAGATGGAGTCTTCCTTCAAGTTGTTTCTATTTTCTTTTTCTTTTTGTATCCTTAACCTTCTCAGTAAAGTTTGCATTCTATTCTATCATGTGCTAGTGCTGATTGCTGGTAAATATGTCTTGTCATAGAATGCAGGATTGCATGTTATTTGCAGAACGATGGCTGACTTGGGATATTAAACTAGGAGTGTTAATAGGTGACATTGAGTTGGGTCTTGGGCCAAGTCAAAGTTTTGAACTTAAAAGTCTTGGATTGGATATATACCCAACCCAACTCAGAAATTTTTGTTTATACATATACTTTAGTTAATCTGTTCAGATTGATATTATCCTACCCAAATTAATTTGGGAAGAAGCATGAATTAGCTAAGTTTGTTTAATCAAGATACCAAACATAAGATTAAGACGAGCTGTGAATGATGAGTCAAGTCTATGCTTGAAATATTAAAATGAGTTGATTCGATTGTTTGATTAGAAGGGTTGGGTGGGTGAAACTACTGATTTTGTCATCTTTTTTCATGTTTAGTTTTTCCATTACCTAATTCCTTGAGTTATCTCGTGTGTTGATCTCTTATTAGGCTCTATCTACACTTTTTCTTACTTTAAAGCATATCCCATATTATATTGTCAGACCATTAAGAAACTAGCCCATCTTTGCTTTTTATTTATCTGTTTTTTTTGGATAATGATGAATGTTTGGAACAGTTCAGGTGAGACTCTTATCTTATAGGACAGTTTACATCGACCTGGCAATATTTAACATTGGACAACTTATAAGATATTTAAGAAATGAAAGAGAAAAGTTAGTTTTAGTTATAGTTTGGTTAATTTTATATGGTATTATCCTTTTTGAGTGACTTGGTTGGGTATAGGGCATGGTAAGATCATTGGTTTATGGTGAGGTTGTGGAGAGGCCAGATATCATCTGCCAAAGGGAACTTCTACTGATCACACAAATAATTCGACAACCGACCCAATAAACGAGCAACAACTAATATCACGTGGCTGGCTCGAGGCGATGAAAGGTCGAGATCGGGTCAGTATCTGGGTCGGCATCGGGGATGGATGGGATGGGACATAGATTTTTAATTGTAGTTGTACTCGGATTTTGATTTGTAATGAACTTTCTCAGCATTAGACTTTGGGTATTTATCATTAAACGTTAATTTAGTTTGAAAGTTGTCTTTGTAGTTTAAAAACTTTTACTTTTATTTCCATGCGTAAAATTATGTATTTGCTTTCTATCAAATTATAAGAGTGTATTCTTTTCATTTTATTTTTCAACACATGTCATCAAATGTGTTAGAAGAAAAGTTGAGACAATTATATTTCTTTTGACTGCTCTTATCAAATTACGAGGGCCACTTACACTGTTGCTCGTAAGAAAATAAATATGCTAATTATCGATGAGTTATGTTCGTTTTGATCATAAGAAAATAAAGTTAATTATTATTATATCTCTCGTATTTTATTTTATGAATTTACTAAATATATAGAATGATAGTTTAATTTTTTATTTTTTTTTACTACTTTGTGATTTAATTATATAATCACATAACGGAAATAAATAGATTACTCAAGTATGATTTATTGGTTGGCTTGCAAGTAATCTTCTTTTAGTTTAATGAATATTGATCTTACTGTTTACTAAAATTTAAGTTTCTATTTGATAAACAATGTGACTTGAACTTGTTTATCAATAAAATAACAAGATAAAAGGAATGAGTGAAAACAAAAAATTGTGGTTGACAATGTAGCGGGTGGAACACGTGTCATGTTTCTTGTGGTTGATCATTTTTATTAAATATTCCAATAAAATCCCACGAGAAAAAAAAAAGGTTATGCTATAAATGCTCCATAAGTAGTCACAATGACATCATTACCCTTAAGAAATCACTTTTTTTCATAACCAAGCCATTGTGTACGTCGCTTTACTCGCTTGGCCCTGAATAGTCCCAAATTCTTCGGTGGACGAAAATGGCTTTAGAAAATATAAGAAGCAAAAAAAACTATTAATATAAATTACACTTTCCCTATTTTTTAATATAAAAAGTGTTAAAAAAAATTAGGATATATATATATATATATATTTAGGTAGTTCTAGAAATCTGCCACACCATTGTCAATAATTAGAAGTTGTAAAGGTAAGATGATGGTTGCTTAATGATTTGTTTAGATCCATAAACTACGCCTTAAATCACATTAATAATTAAATGTCGAATGGATGCATAATGGCTTACCAATTTTTTAATACTCGACCACGTATTATGCACCTCATAATTGAATCCTTAATTAAATTTACATTTGAAAAAGCGACATATATTTATTATTATTTTAACCAAAATGTTTAAAAAGAAAAAAGACAACGACCTGCTGATAAAACGAGATTTACATTCATAAAGATAAAGCAAGGCCATGTGAGGGTATAATCGTCAAATCACATTGCAAAATGCGCGGGATATTCCTCGTTCCAAATATCTAGGCGGTGATGAGATGGGAAGGGTGTGAAGGAGGTAGGGTTACGTGGCCTCATCTTGATCATACACGTGGAGCAGCCTAATTGGCTTGGTAAGAAAAAATCAACCAATCAGAGTAGGGCCCCGTGGACTAACTCCTAACCGCTCGCCTTGGAAAAATCAACGTCGGTGTGCCGCGGAAGCCTCAATTTTGTAGTGGTATTTACGAAATTATCCCTCACGTTTTTCTTTTTCTCCTTCCCCATCAAGAAATATTTGTTCATGAAGAATTAAATTATCGGGCAAATTATTCTTTTCGTGACGAAGTTTGGACATAATTTTTATTTAATCAACAGGCATTTTTAGCTTATAAAGCTTGGATTTTGTAATCATAAATTTGAGTTTGGTTTTCTATTTGATTTATGAATTTAATTCATTCTGAGTCGATCTAACAAAAGATGACGGGATAATTTACCTACTTAAGTGGACTATTTATCTCATGTCATTGTTATGGGTCCACCATTATTATGAGTCCACTGGAAGATGTCCATATAAGGGTGATGACATTGTCATTAACTAAAAATCTCTCGTTCCTTTTAAACTTTCTTTAGCATATCAACTGTTACGTCATTTCTCTTAAATAAAATAATGATTAATTCAATTTAGAGATCAAATTGAGACTAAATTGGACCAAAAAGTGTAATTTTTGAAATTTTATGGAGACAATAAAAATAAAATTCAAATTGAAGAGACTAAATAGAAATCAAGACCAAACTTTGGGGACAAAAATGTAATGTGGCCTAGGTTATTTGATCTTAAAGTTATAATTTGATGGAGATGAAGGGTACTTGCATGAATGAAGGAATGGGGGTAAGAAGGTCATTTGAAGTGATGGAAGAGGCAGACATTGGCGCGCAATTATTTGTGAGTTGTTAATTACAAAAATTCCAGTCTCCACATATATAATAATTTATAAATTTAATAAATTTAATTTTGTATATTTTATATAGCGTTGCGGGTCCGTGGAAGTTGCCTTGTTTGCGTCCACTTCTTCTCTTCAACGTGCTTTTCCTCCATTTACTTTCTTTCACGCTGCAACTTCTCCCTCCTCAACCATCCAGATGAAGAAATCGGCTTTTATTGCCGCCTCCGTCGCCGGCGCCTCCGCCGCCGTCTCTGCTTCTCCTTCTTCTTCCACGTTCGTCTGTAATCCCAAAGTTCAATTTCCTCGCCAGGTAAACCGTTGTCCACCCATCGTTTTCCCTCCCCCTTTTCCAATTCAAAATTTCAATTCGTTTTTGGACTCGGATTTTAATGATTAAAAGAATCGAATTCGAATAAAAATAAAAGAACTCCCCTGTTTTCTCTTGTATTGGTCGGTGATGAAGTTCTGAAACATTCGTTTAGAGTAATTTTAGTGTTGGGAAGTTTCTGAAGGCGAGGGTTTTTCGTTTAATACTTATGCAGGAGGGAAAGGTCGAAGAGAACTCGTCGTCTTCCGCAGATAAATTTGCTCCCAAATTTGACGGATTGAGATTCATCGAAACTCTGGTGACGGCTCACAGATGAGCTTCGACGGCGACGGCGACGGAACCCACCGCCGCAACTTTGTACGTCGCTTTTTAATTCGCCAGCACGCAAGCACATTGAACAATTACTTTATAATAATTTTCCATTATTTAATCCAATAGTTGAAAAACGTGTTTTTGGTTTCGAGGGGATTTCTCTCTCTTTTCTATTTTGCTTTGGTCATTTAGGCGAATCATTCACAGCTCAAAACATAGATTTGAAAAGTAAGAATTGCTTGTAAATTGCACTAAAAAAAAACTACGTCTTTTAGCCTTTTAGGGGAAAAGAAACAGACAGACGTGTGCATGTTTTATTTTATCACGCATCCGAGTTTTCTTTATGAATAAAATAATAAAAGTATTTTCTGATGAGTTCCTTTGCCAAAGGGAGGGGAAAAAAGAAAAAAAAAATTGCAGGAGAAGTAACATAATCGAGGTTGGTGTGGCTTAAAAGGCGAAATTGGTCAAGTCGACAATAGCCCAAAACCCAAGACAGAAAAAGAAACAGTCCAGAATGTTTGGTTTTATGATTAATGATTAGTACAATTTGTAATACTTGAATTTCTGTAATTTTATTTCGTGAAAGGTTAAAAGATTCAATCCTCCACTTTCTCCGCTCCAACCCGGTGCTAAATTGGAAAAAATCAGAATCTGATTGATGTATAAATACAATAAAATTTAAAAAAAAAAAAATCTTCTAGAAACGTTGGGGCATAAAATACATTCTCCATTCCTATCACCAATAATAGATCAGAGAAGAAAAATTCCACAGGAGAGAATCTGTTTCCCACCACAGAAAAAAAGTCATCCAAAATGTGGAGAAATTATGAAATTCATTGTTGGCGATGGACAGAGAAAAGATGGTATAATGATGAAGGGCTTTGGAAATGGAAGTAAAGCCACCGAAAGCAGAAGCAGAACAGAAATGAATTAAAGATTAGTATGAAACTCAAAAAGTAAAATGAAAGGCATCCGCTCTGCGCCGCACCCATCAGCATCTTCTTTATTTTTCGCTATCTCCATAGTTATTGCTATGCCATATCCCATCACTCTCTTCACACATCACTAAATTAATGCATTTATAAAAATACAAGGTTAATGATTTGGTATACAGTCCTAATACTATAATGCCGAAGTTGAACAGAAACAAAATAGTGCAGAGTCGGGGTTTTCAAGAAGATTCTTTACTAGCAAAAGCTGCTTGCATGTCTTACTTTCCGAGTGATGGACCGACCCATCCGAATACGTCGAGCGGTGAGAGCTTCTAACAATACTTCCAGAGCGTCTTCCAATGCCTCACCCTGTTTGTCGAATTCAATGGAACTGAACTTTGGAATGAGTTGAAGCTCGAAGAGCAGGCTAGCTGCTGCTGCTGCAGTGCAGGTGCGATCCCATGATGGTTGAGGCCTGAATATTCAGAAATGCTCTATAGAATAATCCTGAATTCTCCTTGAAAATTAAGAAACCTGAGTATATATTGGATTAGTGGCTCGAGTTCTTACCGGAGTTTATGCATTGCGGAGGAGCCAGTGGTCAATGATATACATGGAAGGTCCTCCCCCCAAACCGAATTTGCTTGCTCCTGCATAATTGCAACAATCATCACACTGTAGCTTTAGGGCATTTTCCAAAAGTTCGGTCCACTTAAATTATTTTGTTCAACGAAAAACATTGGCTTTCTCCAGTGATAACCTGGTAGAGACCTGACTTGAAGACATAATAAATATAAAAAATTCTACATAACATTCATTACCTTGAGACGGTTGAACATTGCAGCAGAGTTGCTCCATGTACCATCAATCAAAATAAAATTCAGAATTCCATCTCCATCAGTCTATGAGTAGAATCAACAAGAACATTATGACCTTGTTCAACTGGAAGAACACGAGATTTTACAAGAAGAAAACCATAGCCAAAATAACAAAACATCAGCCAGAATACCAAGTTACATCACTTGAAACTGCATGGATTGAATAGCTGAGTCTAGAAGTCTTCCATAAATAATGTATCGTGGGTATGTCCAGCCGTAAAGGCCGCGCACTGTAGTTATGTTATGTGACGTCCCAAAAAATAGTGATATGATAAGGCCATGCATGGATATAAATTAATACGTCAAATTGGAGAAATCATTTGTGAATTCTGGTATGTTAAGTTTCTTCTACCACGTAGTCCCTTTTTTTCTTATCAGTACTTATTAATGTGAAATCATATTCAAGCTTTAAAGTAAGTTTAATCAAGAAAGGGACGTTCACTGCACTGTTTCAGAATATTTGTACCGTTTTCTGTGTGCATTCTTGCTTAGTCGAGAGCTCAGAGCTGAAGGCATCTTGAACACTTTTTGAAGTTGCATTCTTGTTGGGGTAAAGGCAACAAACCTTGCTTTTACCTGAGTAATATTTAAAGAATAAGAATAAACAAAAGAAGAAAAATATAGAGTAAGAAACTGACTCATGGCAGAACTAAATTAGTGACTAAGAGCCAATTAATCTATAGCTTGGGAAAATATAATATTTTTTGATACTGAGAGTCAGAGCTTTGCTCCCCTATATCTAGCGACATCCGCACCTGCCCCAAGTCCGGACCCGAGAAATATCAAGGGTTTTTGGTATTAAGCTCACCAAAAGGTTCGAACTTGAGACCTAGTATGACCAAGATACCCCAAGCCCAACTGGGCTGCCCTTTGGAGGCTTAGAAAACTAGAATATTTAATGTCAAGCAAACTTTGGTAATGAGCAACATAAATCACACAACAGTTTGGACCAAATAAAAGATAACAATAACATCCATGTTTTCTGGTAACAATGAACAATTTCTCATACCATAAATTTCCTCTAAGATATACCTAATTTCTTAGTTCTAGAGTAAGATACTATATTTAGTTCTTGGTACAGTAAAATAAAGTCATAGCCTTGTTAAAGCTAACACGAAAGATAAAATTACCTGCTGCCTTGAATGCATTCCACATGATTTCTTCATGTTCCGAGATACCGTAGAGGCATAAAGTTGTGGCTTCTACACCAAAGACTTGCAACAACAATTTTCCTGTGTTGTTCTGCCGCAGAAAATCCTGCGCAATAACTCTAGATTCTAGATAAACCATGTGTCAAGTTTAATAGATCAGAAGGACCCATTACTGAGCAGCACTAGACAAACCTTTGGATGCATATATAGCCAAAACCGTGCTCCACCCCATAGAGAACAGCGCTTGACTCTTGAACACATACAATCCTCAAAAGGCAGCCAACACTAAACAGTCCCCAAAGGAATTCCAAGAAATGTAGAGAAGTTAGATAAGTAATAATAAGAGTCTGTAGGCACTAAACAGCATATCAGTTCTTCATAAATGCATTGGAAAAAGTTATTAAAAAAACTGGTGGTGTTATTGTGGATAGGACCCCAAGAATTACAGAATCATTTTAAAGATAGATTATACCTTCTGACAAAGATAATCCCGGCTCCCAAGCAAACGGCAAGCTATTTGTCGAGCAGAAAAAAATTGGAGTTTCTGCTCAGAACTACCTAAAGCCTGATATGTAGCTCGGTGTTTTTTGTCCTCCTGAGTTTTAAAATATCCCTGGAATTTTTAGGGCCAGAGATTAATAATGCAAATTTTTACTTAATGAATAAAATAAAAAATATATATATATAAACATAGCACTAGGGTCCCATTACTTGGCCACGACTGTTCATGGAATGGATATCTAAAATTGATTCACATGTCTGATAACCAAAAAAGACACTGCATTAATAGTTATGCCAATTCATAGGTAAGGAGCATTACTATGTAGTTTAGTGTTTATCACGTGTAAGGCACGCCCCAATTTGAAGCCGTAAAATAAATGGTACATGTTTACAAATGAACAAAACTTTTGTGTTTACCATTGGAAAATCTATTGTTCTTTTCCTTTCCAAATGAACCACATATAAGCCCTTGAGGCGCTTAACCTAAGAATTCCAGTTTTGCCCCTTGACACCAACATGATAAGATTTCTAGAAGTCAGCTTGGCCATGTCCGGACCCAACTTGCTTTCACTGTCACTGTGGTTAAGTTGAAACTGAAATTAGCAGATTGACAAGAAAATTGACCTGAGCTTTCAAATTTCCTGCACGCTTTATTATCATTCCGGCTTACAAAGACTAGTTCTCAGCTTGTATTGGAGATTGCATAAATATTAGGGTACAAATTGCACGAGGGGTAGAATCCAACCATTTATCTTCCCATAATTCGAGCCTTCTGCCATTGCTAAGTTCAAAAGCGATCCATTTTCTCATGAAAGACCTGGTTTTAGTAATGTCAATACAATAGGAAGTTTTTAGCTGCTTCTGTTTGGTGGACCGACGGAGATTATCTATACCATACTTGCTTTTGTTAACAGTTCTCCGTAGGACATTCTCTTCATTGAAGAACTTACACCATTTTGAAAGAAGACCCTAGCTTTATTTCTCGAACTCCCAACACCTAAACCACCTAAACATGCCCAAACCGTTGGCAAGTGCGGACTATTACTCAAGTGGACTAAGAACTCCTGAAACTAATAGTTACACAATTTGGGATAGATACTGCTCCCACAGTCCAAGGATGACAATTAGAATAGTTTCGGCAACTAAAGGAAAAAAGAGGGACAAAACATAATCTGTTCATACGCTACTGAAACTTTAGTGTTAGAAAAAGACATGAATCAATCTAACGATTTAAGTTATCGTTTACTCCATTATGAGAGAAACAAAAACATTAAAATGTAGATGAGTTGCTTTGCAAGAGAAGAGACAGAGAAACAGCAATTGAGTACAACATTTTATGCAGCCTGTTTCAGTAGCAACCAAAATGTAAAAACATTTCCAATGGGTGGTTTGTGGGTTACCTGAAGCTTGCCCCCACTGCCGCCAAAACTCATTTGGGCATCAATATTTTTCTCCAAAACCTTCAATTCCTCGACAATTTCGGTAACCATGGTGGGAAGAGGAGACGCGGAGCCCCAGGCCTGCCATTCCTGCAACGTGATCGGAGGCCCTCCACTGCTGATCCGAGTCTCTCTTGGTTCAGAGGTGGAGGCGCACCTTGAGCTGTGACCATCGGGGCCCCTGACGACGGAATCCATAGGGGTTTTGGTCGAAAAGGCGAGAGATGGGGAACGATTGAACGTGGGGGCAAAGGCCCTTAAGGTGGAGAACATGGTGGACTTTTGCCTTCGAATTTCTAAGCAGCGGGATACTGCTCCCTACCACCAATTGCATTTTAGCTCACACTGTAGATTCCTCCATTGACACCAAATTGGGCCATCACTATAAACTTTGGATTGGGCTTCGTTTGAGGAAGATGACAGAATAGTTTAATTAAAACCCAAGATACATAATTAATTGGAAAATTTTAATAAATGACCAATAGTATCATAATTTCATAAGAAATTGTTCCTACCTAATTTAAACACAATTAGTATGAGAAAATAAAAAAAAATGTTACTCACTAAAATTTTATTTTAGACGATGTATCTTTATGAAACAAATATTTTAGGCAAAATATATTTAATATTTATCTTAATACAACGTGTAGAAATTATGGATTCAAATCCACAATCTTTTTGGTTCGATATAGGTATTTTAACCAGGATTGTGTTTAGGTTGGCCAAAATATATTTAGTGTATTAGTTGTATATTAATTTAGTTGATTAGTTGGTTACTTGTGTGGATGAGTTAATTTATGACATTTTGCTTTGGTTGGTTAGTAATTAATTATTTGGTTTAGTAAACTATAATGAGATATGACTTATCATGAAAATTTCTGACTTTGGTTATATTTGGTTTAGTGAATTAATGAGATTTACTTCTCACCTCTAAATTGTATAGGTATATAGTCTCTCAATTTAGCATAATCTTTTTTTACCGGTTTTCATTTTCCAAATATACAACCAAGAAGTGGAATCTTGCCAGCGGGAATGTAAAATAGTAATTTCTACAATGCTGAAGTTATTAGACTATTTGTGTAATTTTGAATATTAAAAAGCAATTATATTCCATTGACGAAATAAGATATTTAATGCCAATTTTTATAATTCAATAAATTTTGAATATGATCCAATAATTATTGAAACATAAGTCAACAATTTATCGATAGTGGATTGAGATTATAGTTGTTATTTTTATTGTTTAACGAACTTGTCTTATTATTTAATTCCATTTATTAATGTAAGTCAAAGCTTATCGTCTCTGGTCATTGAGGAAAATAGTATAATCTGTGAATAATGCAAGCGGTAGCAGTACGTACAAGTTTACAACAAAAATATATATATAAATAAAAAAACAACTTAGTAATTAAAGAAAGAATAAAGATTATAATTATATATCTTAAGAAAAATAATAAAGAATATTCGATTTTCCTACGTGTCAGTTACGCCTTCGAGGAGCAGAGCAGAGGAAGTCCGACATGTCGGTCGTTCGAATTTCTCGTGGTTCGTGGGACGGTGCATTATCATGCGCCGTTTTTCTCGATCGAATGCTTGAATGCCACGTATGCATCTGTCCTTTCCGATGAATTTGATAAGGCACATGTGGATTACGGGAAAATTTCCCTCCGTACGGAAAACTTTCGTCTACTCTCAATTCGAACTTTCTTACTGCTCTCGATTTATTGTGCGATGCGTAAAAGAGTTCCATTGTTATTTAAATAAAAGTATTTGTTACATAGAATCCACGGGTAAAATTCATCAATCAAGATCACACATTCCCTCCTAAATTAATCGTACATTCTCTTTTTTATTAAATATTCTAGATGTGATTATTTATTTTCATTTTTCTAATTTATTTATCTTTTTATTGTTATTTACACCTTCACTCACTTGCCTCATCTTCTACTTTTATTTTTTGAAATTCACTCACTTCTATTTTTATTCTTTTTAAAATTTCTCCATTCAAACTAAATTTCTTGTTTCTTTTTCTTTAACGACTTCCACTCCACCATTTAAATTATGTATGACTTTTCTATTTCTTTTTTATTTTTCTTGTTCTTTATTATTATTTTTTCTTTTAGATTCTAATCATTTTTATATAATTTTTTATTTTTTATTGAATCCATAAAAATATTTTGATGTATTCATCTCACAGGAAAAAGTAAATCTCTAAGTATGTTATGTTTAATTCTTTACATTTTATTTAACTCATCATTTTTTGTGAATTTTGATTATTTTATTATAAATATACTTTCTTTTTCGTCTTTCGATATAAATATTGTTGAATTTTTGTTTCAAATCAATGGTTAGTTTAGAACCTATAATTCAACCAAATAAAATTTTCAAATATGTTCATGACATAAAAGAAAGTGTATTTATAATCAAATAATCAAAATTCACAAAAATGATGAATTTAAAAAAATGTAAAATATTAAACATAACATACTTAGAGATTTATTTTTTCGGGTGGGGATGAACACATCCAAATATTTTTATGAATTCAAGAAAAAATGAAAAATATATAAAAATGATTAGAATGGAATAGAAAAATAACAATAAAGAGCAAGAAAAATAAAAAATAAATAGAAAAGTCATACATAATTTAAATGATGAAGTGGAATCGCTAAGAAAAAGAAAAAAAATTAGTTTGAATTGAGAAAATTTCAAAAGATAAAAATAGAAGATGAGAGAAGTAAGTGAATTTCAAAAAATAGAAATAGAAGATGAGAGAAGTAAGTAAAGATGTAAATAACAATCAAAAGATAAATAAATAAGAAAAGTGAAAATAAATAATCACGTCTAAAATATTTAATAAGAGAGATAATGTATGATTAATTTAAGAAAGAATGTGGAATCCTGTCGATCAATTTTACCCTTTACCTTACATAAAAATTAAAAATATTTTTATTTAAATAATAATAGAACTCCTTTAAACATGACACAATTTGAGTTGAAGTAGTATGAAAATTCTCCCTACTAGAATTTTTTCGGTTGATTACACATGATAGTTCTAACGTGGAGGTGCCTCATTGTCAATTTTCAGCCGTTGATCTTGTCGGCTACTACTGAAAATCAACGGCGATGATTTGATTGCATGGTAGGCAACTATGAGATAAATAAAAAGTACATTTTTTTCATCAATGAATTTGACAATTTGATTTATGAAATTTTAAAGGCAAATCACACTCTCAATGGCATAGAGCATGGTTCTAAATATCCGTCGATACGTCGACATTTTCATTGATATATCCATGTTTCCATAGATTTGACATCGACATGAGAGATAAATCAACATTTCCATTGTACTACAAAAAAATCGATAAGATATGAAAAATATTAACAAAATGTCACTAATATATACCTAATATTAATATTAATTATTTTTACCTTATTTAGAAATTGAAAAATGGTTATTTGTTAATTTAAATATTTTTTATAATTTTTTAATTTCTATAACTTTTACAGAAAAATCCATCGACATCGACATTTTATCGATATTTCCTTCGATATTTACATAAAATTGAGACCTCGATATTTAAAACCTTGGCATAGAGTACATGTGCATTTATAAAAATGTCGTCTTTTTTTTTTTGTAAGGTGACTTCTAACCAGTCTTCGTATGATGGTATAATTTATTTTTGTAAAATTTTAAATTTAATATATATATATAGCACTATTTTTGTAATTCCCTTCATTTAAAAGAGACATTTTTAGTTTATAAAGTTAGAAAAATGGTTCTAAATTGCTCCTGGACTATCTCACTTAATTGGCTAACGGAAAAAATATTGTGACAGTTACTTGTTTGGACTCGCAAATTATATTCTTTCTTGAACGATTAGTCATATAATTTGACAAGCTTCTTCCTCTTTCTTCATTCTCTCTTATTCTTATTTCTTTCTACCGCTCTTTCGCAACTTTGCTGGTGCCACTCTCCATCTCTTCTCTCGCTAAAACTCATCACCTTTATTGTACAGTCGTCTCTGTCGACTCGCAACTGCCTCCACCACAGCTCAGCATTAGATCTGGAAGGAAAAGGAACTCCCCCTTTCCTTTCTCAAATTTGAACTTGGAATTTTTTGAATGACAAATTAGAAGAGATGGGAAGCCAAGTGAGGACGTCAGAGGAAGACAACAACGAGCAAGAGCGTCGTCAGTAGTGCCAACAAACTAAGGTCTCTTCTTTAGGAGATAGACGAAGAGAAAAAAGAGGAAGAAAAGAAGGAAAATGAAAAAAAAAAAACATAACTAGCACTAATAAACTAACACATCATTTATCAGATAATATCAATCGAGTTCTTGGACCATCTAAAATATATTTTCAAATTTTAAGTACTAAAAATGCATTTCGAAATCTCATGAACTAAACAGGGAGGAAACTCAAAACTTAAAGGGTATGTTTTGTCCTAGAAAAAAAAAAAAAAAAAAAAAGGGTTGTTAGGTTTCCCTTTCGTATACCCATTTATGGGTTGTTGGGAGGAGGATGTTTTGGTATTTTATTATTGAAATTCATTATTTATGGGTGGTTGGGAGGAAAATGTTTTGGTATTTTATTAATGAAATTCATAAAACAGGTGGGTACCAAAATCAGCAAGGGACTTTGTCAAAAAAGGAGGACGGGCTACCCCATTATTGTAAATATGTTTGGTAAATTAAATTAATTAAGACTCTGATCTCATTAATAAATTCCATAACATGGGAATGAAATTGGATTCCCATCAAGTCCAATGGGGCATATTTCTTAAAATAACAGTTAACAATCATTTTTAAAAAGATATGAATAAATTATAATTTTTACATAGACGCGAAGGCAAGCTCCTAAATTCGTTTAGATAGAGAAAATCACATTTCAAATTATGATTTTAAGATTTTCTCTCCTTATATTCTTAAAATTGAAATATTATTTACCTAAAAAAGTAAAATTCTATCCCCTTTACAAATGTATGGCTCTGTCCCTTATCAAATAGATGCAAATTAAATAGAATATCGTCTCCTATGGCTAAAAAAAATAATATGTTACATTTTAAGATCAATGATTTAAAAATTCGTAAGTCGGGATTACCTAAAAAAAGTAATTATAAGGTGT